ATTGGTTGGAACATGGGTAGCCTACAGAAGAGGAGACGATGAAGGCAAGATGGGGAAGGGGTATAGGTTTGGAAGCTCTGAGGAAAGAAAAACGAGAGATCAAAACGAGGCGGACCGAATGGGTGGTTGGGAGAATGAGGGGAAACTGAGGGGCACAGAGGGGGATTGAGGAGCAGCGAGGAGCAATGAGGGCCAGGTGACCAGAAAAAGGGGGGCAGTATAATAATTGCATTGCGGTTACATGATGTCTTGCAATGCAATGCGATGTGACCTGTAAGTAACCCCACCTGATATGTGTGTGTGTGCCATCCGTCAACAGCCCATCCTTGTTCCGATTTTGAGGCACCTCAAATGTCGTGCTATGCGACGTGACGTGTAAGTAACCCCACCTGATGTGTGCCATCCGTCAACAGCCCATCCTTGTTCCGGCTGAAACAATCGGCCCGTGTGATGTGACCGTGTGATCGTGTGAGTCGGAAAGTGTTAAACATGAGCGAGCATGTGAGAACATGAGTTGCGATGCGACATCACCTGATGTGATGTGACATGAAAGGTGCTCACCCACCCCCAATCCCAACCCCAACCACAACCACAGCCCAAACCTTTCTTCACTTTATTCCCTTCCTGACCAAAGCCATTCAGACCTTGTTCTGGCTGAAAAAATCGGCCTGGGTGAGCCCGTAGGTGTTGAGGATGAGCGGGCATGTGAGGCCGTAGGGTGACAAGAACGTGGGAACCCGAATTTCAACCCGCCGCACTGCATACATGGGGTAAGCATACATGGGGTGGGCTTGCACGGTGTAAGCATGGATGGGGTAAGCATGGATGGGGTATGCATGAGGCAACCATGTCATTGCAAGCAGCAAACAAGGGACGTTTGAGTTTACTTTGTGGCAAGAGCAAGAAATACAAGATACTCAAACGGATGCCATGGCAAGCATCGGTAATGAGCCTTGAGACGAGTCGGAAGTCAATGTTATCAGATGAGACATGATGAAAAGTGCTATCATATACGCCATGATGACAAGCAAGCACGTAGTAAGTGAGCAAGCAAGGGCAAGTGTTACATACAGAGGTAACAGCTGGCAGTGCCTTTGGTGGGAAAGATCAAGGGGAAGAAGGGCGAGGGGCAGAGGCAGGAGTAGGTGCCGTCTATGCCGTCAATGCACACCCCCGGGGCACATGGGTTGCGGGGGAACTGGCGACACATGAAGGAATCTGGTGAGGGCATGAGGAGAAGGGGGAGTTGGGAAAATCTGAGTGGAAAGAGAGCAACAGGAGTCGGTGCCGTCTATGCCATCAATGCACACCCCCGGGGCACATGGGTTGCGGAGGAACTGGCGACACATGAAGGAATCTGGAGAGGGGACGGGACGGGGGGGAAAGAGGACAGGTGGAAAGGCAGGGGAAGGCGAAAGGAGGGGGAAGAAGAAAAAGAAGTGTTGCAGGAGCAGTAATATATGCACTGGAGTGCACACTCTTAACTAAAATACGACAAGCCATCATATTAGCAAAGAAATTATTATCTAAGCTTAATTAATTCCAAAAGAACTAAATAGGGAGATAAAGGTGAAGGTACTCCTTGAGGCAACAAGAAACTAAAAAGGGTAGCTTGAGTGATAAATTCTCAAAACTGAAGCGTATGCACTTTTGAGTCGACTCAAAAATTGAAGCGTATGCACTCTGGATTTTCTTAAATGTCATCCACAAACAAACCAGAAGGGCACCTACCACCCTTCACCACTTGCGTACCACACTCCACCTCTTGCCAACCGCACTCCACCTCTCGCCGACCGCACTCCACTTTTTGCCTACTGTACTCCACCACTCGCCTTCCGCACTCCACCCTTACCTACCGCACTCCACCTCTCACCGACCGCACTCCACGTCTCACCAGGGAAGCAGGAGGGCAGGCCAGAGAGGTGAGAGGGTTGGAAGGAGGGGAGATTGAAGGGGCACTTGCAGGAGGGCACGAGGATAGACGGGTCCCACGGGGCAGGTGCCTTGGTGCATGCACCCATGCCACAGGGGAGCACTGGAGAGGCCTTGCAGGGGTCGGTGTCTGTGCACGGGGAGGGAGGGAAGGATGCGATTGGGGAGTGGGAAAGAGGAGGGTATGTGTGACCGGAGAAGAGAAGAGTCCCTGTAAGGGAAGAGTCCCTGTGGGTGCTTTGAAAATTGAAGGTTTGAAGTATGCGTTGTGCTGCAGAGGACACTCGGGGGTGCACGGGGGTGCAAGGGGGTGCATCGGGGTGCGTGGGGTTACAAGAAACAAGAATCCTCTTTCTCCCCTTCTTCGTTATCTCTGAAGGCGGAAAGTACAGGAGGAGGAGGACGACGTGGAAAGGCACGTGGTTTGCTATGCCTCCTCCCTTCCCTCCCCCACCATTCCCACCCCCTCTTCCCCCCTCTCTTCTCCCCTTCCCCCTACCTGCGAATCGGAACCTGCGATCCTGTGCGAACCGAAATGGTTCAAGGTCAGTTCCTGTGTAACTCTACATTTCCCCCCCTTTCCCCTCTCTCCCCGTTCCCTACCCCCCCGGGGGCCCCCGGTCCCACTCTCCCCTCCCCTTTTCTGTGAATCGGAAGGTCCAGGAGGAGAGGGTGACAAGGGCAGGGAACGAGGCATGCTACCCCTTTTCTCTTTCCCTCCCCCCCATCTCGCCCACGCCTCCCACCTACCTGTGAATCGGAAGGTCCAGGAGGAGAGGGCGACGGGGGAAGGCAGGCGGCCAGGGGGGGAGGGAGAGCAGCGCTGGTGAACCCAACAAACAGATGCCCGAAGGATGGCGACCATAGGTCCGTTGAACTGCTTTCACTGCTGCTGCCGCTGCTACTGCTGCCACTTGTGGTCGTGGTGGTGCTGCTGCTGCTGCTGCTGTTGCTACCACCGCTGCCACTGCTGCTGTTGCTGCTGCCGCTGCCGCCACTGCTTCCGCTGGAGTCAGTAACCCCAGTGAGAGCAGCACACAGGTCAATGGTGACCTTCAATCGAGTCTTTAGAAGAGCAGGGCGGTACAATCTCATCACCATCTCCTTGCTGCTCCCGTTATAGTCAACCCTCATCTGCCAAACCTCTTCAGACTCCATAACATCCAACACCTTCTTAGTGAAAACCGACGTCATGTTGAAATCGGTGTTTACGCCGATATGTATATCATTTACATCGCCCATTTCCGGGTTTGCTACAGTATCCCATTCCACTGCTACACTCCGCGCGCCGTCCGGCCAGCTGCCATTAGCGAGCCGCGAGGATGGGTCCCGGCCGTACCCCATATAAGCCCCGCCCAGGCCCAGGGTCGCATGTGTGCTTATAACGAACGCGAGCCCATGAGTAGCGGATTTATTCATGGAAAAGCCGTATGTGAAGGTGAACGAGCGAGCCATGCAGATTGGGGGTTCGGTTGCTGTGGGCTGGGGAGGTGAGGAGGAGGAAGGAGAGGAGCGGAGTGAGCTTTTGCGCGCACGGGGAAAGGGAGGAGGAGGGAAGGGAGGCGAGGAGGAGGAGTAGAGGAGGGGGAGACGGCGAGGGAAGTAGAGGGCTCCGGGAGAGGGTTCGTTTGATTGGCTGGTTGATGCCACGTCAGCAGCGACAGAGAGATCGGCGGCGAAGAAACGCTTCCTGGTGCTGCCACGTGTCAGCAGGGGAGTGGCCGGCGTGATGTAGGGGAAGGAGAACGAGTCTGCCGCCCAAAACGGAAGCGGATCCTCCGCTGCTGGGGTGAAAGAGGGGGAGGGCAAGGGAGGAGGCGGGGGAAGGAGAAGGTTGGGTGAAAAGTGTGAAGTGAACCAATTCATGCTAGGTGATGGGTTGAAGGGGCATTAAAAAGACGCCAGTCAGGTGTCTGATCCCTCCATTTGCCTGCCTGCCTGCCTGCTTGCCTGCCTGCCTTCCCAGAGTGTTGCAGGTCTACTACAACAGGCCTGGGGATGACACTTAAAGGCCACACCCAGAATTACCGAGTCGGGCGTGAAACTGTCATCACTTTCACGCGATTGGTCCAAATTTTTGAGTGGGTTTTCTATGCGATTGGTTTTAGATTTCCCCACCGAACCTCCTCCTGGGGTTTCCCGAACCTGCAAATTCGACGTTGACTTCGTTGTGTAATTCGGGGTTTGGCCTTTAAACTCAACTCACTATTCCAGGAGTCAAAATCACCATTCCACAAGTCGACTCAGAACGAGGTGACTTTTGAGTCGACTCAGAACGAGGTGACTTTTGAGTCGACTCAAAATGAGGTGACTTTTGAGTCGACTCAAAACGAGGTGACTTTTGAGTCGACTCAGAACGAGGTGACTTTCGAGTCGACTCAGAACGAGGTGACTTTTGAGTGGACTGACAACGAGGTGACTTTTGAGTCGACTCAGAATGAGGTGACTTTCGAGTCGACTCAGAACGAGGTGACTTTTGAGTTGACTCAGAATGAGGTGACTTTTGAGTCGACTCAGAACGAGGTGACTTTTGAGTCGACTCAGGGTGAGGTGACTTTTGAGTCAGCTCAGAACGAGGTGACTTTTGAGTGGACTGACAACGAGGTGAACTTTGAGTCAACTCATGACGAAGTGACTCTTGAGTCGACTCAGAACAAGGTGACTTTTGAGTCGACTCAAAACGAAGTGAATTCGAGTCGACTAATAACGAGGTGACTTCTGAGTCAACTAAGAACGAGGTGACTTTTGAGTTGGCTCAGACCGAGGTGAATTTTGAGTCAGCGCAGAACAGGGTGAATTTTGAGTCGACTCAAAACGAGACTCAGAACGAGGTGGAGTAGATTATATGGTGTTAACTTTTTAAGTCAACTCATAACTCAGCTAGCCACCCCCGGAGTCAAACTTCCATCTCAGAGCATCATGTGGGTACTAAAACACTGCCGATGCTAATACAGATCATAATATACACATCCCTAAAAGTCACTAACCCCGGGTGGGCCAATTGGAAGAGTTGGGAAACACGAACTGATCCTATAGAACAATAACAACAAGGATGAGGGCACTCGAACTCACCCTCCCCCACTTGGAAGGTCCACCCCAGCACCTCGTGCGCCTGGGCCTGCTCTGCCCCCTTGCCTGTGGCCGCTGTGAATCCCACAAACAGTGGCGGGGGGGGCGCTGCTGCCTGCGGGTCGTTCCCCCCCAGCCACTCGCAGGTGTCCACGAATGTGGTCAGCACGGCCGAGCGCGGGAGAGGGGGGGCGGAGGGGGAAGAGGAGGAGGAAGAGGAGGAGGAAGAGGAGGAGGAAGAGGAGGAGGAAGAGGAGGAGGAAGAGGAGGAGGAAGAGGAGGAGGAAGAGGAGGTGCGAGATGACCGAGGGAAGCCAGGGAAACCAGGAAAACGAGGGGAGGAGCGAGAGGGGGATGGGGAACGGGAGGAGGAAGGGGCGGGGGAGAGCCAGACAGTGAGTTGGGAGGAGGAGGCGTTGTATTGGATGGTGGCGAGGAGGGTCTGACCAGCGTTGAGGGAGGGAATGCCGACGGGGTGCACGGGGGCAGAGGCGAGAGAGAGCATGGTGCCGTGCAGGTTCACCCCCACGTGGTGGTCGGGGCGGTCCAAGAACTCAGGAGAAGAGGACGTGTCGAATTCCACTGCCAGGCTCCGCTGCTGCTGTGGATAGCGCGTGTGGGAGGGGGGATAGCGCGTGTGGGAGGGGGGAGTAGCAGCCGATAAGCAAAACAGCAAAGTGGCAGAGTAGGAGTGAGAAATACAAGATAAACAAAGTAAGTCAGGCGGATGAGACGCGATAAAGAAGCCCGCAGACAAGAGACGGACAGCGAGAGATGACACGTAGCTGAGATGACATGACACGTACCTGAGGTGACACGTACGTACCTCAGAAGACACGTAACTGAGATGACACGTACCTGAGATGACATGTACCTGAGATGACACGTCATTGGAATTATCGGCACCGGTAGTGCTCCCAGGTGGCAGCAGCAGGCGGCCGTAGCCCAGGGAGGGCCCCGGCAGGCCGAGTGTGGGAGACGGCAGCATCACAAACGCCAAGCCCTCGCCGCCCAGCCCGGCGGCGTTGGGGGAGGAGATGCGGAAGGCGAAGGAGGTGGAGAAGGAGAAGGGGCGGCAGGGGGAGGCGGGCGTGGCAGGGGCGAGCAGGGCGAAGGGGGCGGGGTGCAGCGCGAGAGAGGCAGAGTTAAGGTCGGAGAGCGTGGTGAGGGAGAGGGAGGCGCGGTTGCGGCGAGCTGAGCCGGCTGTGAGGAGCGGATGGGCGCTGGAGAGCGGCCAGTGGGAGAAGGAGTTGAGAGGAGAGGGGTCGGCTGCAGGGCAGTTGGGGGGGGGGGGGGGGGAGGGGGGGGGGATGGGGGGGAGGAGGGATGGATCGATCATTCACAGCGCAACGACCTGTGACACACCAGTTACCCTGTCAACCATTTCTGCCTCTCTGACTCACTGTGGGTGGGCACGACAGACGCGCGATCGATAGCCGTGCTCCCCGCTTCTAGCGCCACTCCCTCTCTTGCCATCCCCTGTCCGCACCTACCTCCCCCTATCACTCACCTGGGACTCCATCCCTCCTTGCACCCCCCCGACACTGTCCCTCTCCCACTCACTGCTAGTGAGCATGACAGACGCAAGGTCGATAGCAGTGCTCCCATCTTCCGACGCCACTTCCTCGCTCTTCACCCCCACCTTCGCTCCCGCTCCTGCTCCCCTTTCCGTACTCGCAGCAACAGTGAACGCGGCTGCTCCAAGTCTAGCTCCCACAACCTCCGCTGCTGCTGCTGCTGCTGCTGCTGCTGCTGCTGCTGCCGCATTGTGGGATACAGACTCCGCACCAGCTGCTGCTACCCCACCAGCGGCTTGCACTGCGGGTGCTGCTCCTGCTGCTCTCGTCGGCCCAGAGTTCCGCACCTGCCGTGGCCCCCAGGCCCGCCTGTGTATGGAGAGGGGTAGTCTGGGGAAGCGGAGCAGCGTTCGCAGGGAAGATCCAGAGCGGGAAAGGGCGGCGTGTAACGTTGAATGGATCAGGAGGCCAAGGGAGGTGATGGTGAAGCCACTGCTCCCGCTGCTGTCAGCACCGCTGCTGGTGGTGGCGGTGGTGGTGGTGGTGGTGGTGGTGGTGGCGGTGGTGGTGCTGCTCCTACTATTTCCAACGATGCTGCTGCTGTCGATACTACTGCTTCCGCCGGCACTGCTTGTCGCTGCGATGCTGGCAGTGCTGCTGCTGCTGCTACTGCCTTGCAGGCCTCGAATCACCAAGTGCAGCGCCACTCCCCCGGGAGGCACTACCAACGAGGAAGGGGAAGAGGAGGAAGAAGAGGCGGAGGAAGAGGAGGAGGAATCTGGGGGGTCAGGGAGGGGGAAGAGGAGGGGTCCCACTTGGAACCAAGGCAAGGCGCCGGACAAACTCGCGCTGCTCCCCCCACACGGCACACCCACCCGCCACTCCCCCCACACCTGCTCCGCCGCTCCCCCCCCTGCCCCTCCCCCTGCCGCGGCGGCGGCGGAGGTGTTGAGCGGAACTGCCAGCAGCAGCACCGTCAACAGCCGCTCCGCCTCCCCTTCCGCGCCCCCTCCACCCTTCGCGCACAGGCTGGCGCGCGCAAAGAACGAGAGGGACAGCTGGCGCGGGGACTGCTGCTGCTGCGCCTGCTGCGAGTCGTTGCTGGTCGGCGCCGCGGGTTTGAGTTCGCACAGCGCTTGCAATACAGCTGGGCCGCCAAACGCGCTACTGCTATTGCGATCACCGGAACTGTCGTTGCTAATAGGCGACGCGGAAAAGGCGGAAGTCAGTCGTACAAAGCGGGACCCATCAGCTGCCAATAAGGTGTCCGTGACTCCCGTGACCCCGTCCTTTATTGACACGTCAGCAGGCGACGCCGTCGCTCCTCCTGCTGTCGCGACCGCTTCCGCCAGTGTCGCACCCGCCGGCGCGAGCAATGCTCCGCGGTTTCCGCCGCCAGATGCGGTGGCCAAAAACTCGTCGCTTAAGATTGTTTCCCCAGGTTCCAACGCGCGCCACGGGAATAAGTACGGCCATGGATCGCACGACGCGTTCAGCTTCTTGCGACGCCAGCCTATATCGAGACAGCTTGTATCGAAGCTTGGGTTCGAGAGAAGGTTTGACGATTCATCTGGGGGACAAAGAAGAGGGTGTAAAACGGAAGAGAATTGGAAATTTATAGGGCAATTGAGCGGATAGCAACAAAACCTTCAAAGATGCAGCTTTTGCCAATTTTTGGCGCGTTGGATGCAAATTCTACGGGATTAACGAAGGAAACAAAAAAAGGTGAATCTTAAACGAAATTATGCGCACCGGCAAGCGACCGAAAAGGGGCTAACACAGAAAGGAGGAATAGGGGGTACAAATGGCTGGAGGCAAATGGAACGAGTAAAATGTGAAACGCCTGGAGAAGGACGAATGATAATTATACGGGGACCCGTCTCTACTAAAGGCGTGCTTGCGACTCGACTACTTAGTATGATAGCGCCGAAATTGTGAATGGTGGTGTTACCGAGAACGGGAGAAGCGGAGCCTCTTACTTGGATTCGTTAGGTTATGGCAGTCGACGAGGCCGTCAGCGAAACGAGAGAAGGCTACGAAATAGAGGAGAAACGTAACCCGTCGGAAAATCGTGACACAGAGAAGACACGTGGGTCCTGGGTGAACCCGCAATTTGCGGCGAAATGTGCGGCAGTAATTCATGTGGTCCGACACGTTAACAGGAGAGATTATCTCCCAACAGACTACTTTCTCCGGATCGATTACTCTCTTCGATAGGCCGCCCTCTGAACAACTATGCGTCGGACGTTTCGGCGAATCCCGGACTGACACTTGCCATGAGTCAGAGTCAGCCTGTCGCGGCGAGCATATTAAGACTGTCCGGTGAGAATCTATGGTGATCGGCTACAACAGCTAGTATTAATCGCAGCAACGATCACTGGATTCATGGCACGAACCGCCTCCCAAATCATCGCTTTGAGTACAATCCTACAAGTTGCAAGAGGGCGAAGGGATGACTGATGATGGGTTCGCTGTGATAACGATGATTGGTATTTCTTCTTGTCTGTCAGTCCCTTACCTTGGACGGACGATTGCCATGTTCCGAAAGAGTCTTTTAATGCGGTTCAATGTGGCTTTGTACGATCTAAAGTGGTCTATTTGAAACTTCGAATGATTGGGTAGGGTACCTCGCGAATACGTACTTCTGGGACATGCTCGGAAGGGTTACTGCTCAACCAGAACGTTGGTGTGCACCGACATTCATGGGGGGGGAGGGACGTGTCGCAGCCAGACAAGTTGACGTGATCGACTCTCCACCGCGCTGCAACCCTGCTAACCTTTACTGAAGCCTAACGAACGTGTCCAAACACTTTTCTTGGATGACATGGTGGAGGAGCAATCGAACCTGATTGAGGTCCAATACGCACCGTTTCCTCTATTGGAATTTAGGATGGTGTGAAAAAGCGCAAGTGTGCGTCTGGACTGCAGTACACGTGGTGCTCAACCTCTGCCCGTAATTTTTTGTCTCACGGGTAACTCTAAGAGTTTTTTTTACAAACCTTATTTGCTGACCGCGATGTTGGCGAGTGACTATGCACGTTTCAAATCCAGAACGTCAAAAAAGTACGTAGTACTCGAATGATAATCAAGTGTAAGTACCTCCCCGAGATTTTCGGCACAGTCCTGCTTTCGCGTTTAGGGGTCATCATTCGGTTTACTGATTAACGGAAATTATACGGTCAGTCACAATAAAGATCGTTTTATCACATTTGGTCACCTGGGTATCACGGACGGTCAAAGTACATACACCTTGCCACGTATTGCTATGACGTTTGGTCACTCAATGAAACGATCGCTAAAAAGTTGAAACTCTGAAAATTACTGTAAAGATTCTGGGAAAGTTAGCTCAAACGCAATTTTGTCCGTATTGGAAAAAACATTTTTACCACCGAAATATACTCGCGAGAAAGGTCGTGAACTTCTTGCTGTCGTCTTCCTAAAATCCATGCACAGCCTCACCCCGTTTGACAGTTCGCGTCTCCCAATTTTGATTGTTTGTTGCCTCGCACATAATTCTCCCGTAGTATTAAAAAAAAAAAACCCCTATAGGGTGGGATGCTTTTCGGGAGGCATCAACCCTAAACACATGCGACAAGGTGTTTAGGGTTGATGCTTCTCGAAGAAAATCACATCTGAATGAGTTTTAGTTTTTTGTTTGGGAATAACAAAAGAAAACCTTGAAGTTTAACCCGTCTAAATTGATTTTTTTAGTAACATTATGCAACAATCTAATAGTGAACACTGCGCCACGAGTAAAATCTCCTAGAATCTCTACAGTAATTTTTGGAATTTCAACTTCTTAGCAATCAGTTCATTGTGTGACCAAATGTGATAGCAATACGGGGCAAGTTGTGATCTCCGTGATAGTGTTGTGATCACCCGCGATAGATACGAACTGTACTGTGACTGTTTGTCATACCCATATGATCAAATATTACAAAACCCGACTTTACTGTGCCTGCCTACATAATTTCCCACAAATCAGGATCAAATGGTCTGGACAGTTTCTACACCATTCGATTCAGATTCTGTAGATGCGGGCAAGTGCCAAGGGCAAGTGCGAAGGTGACCGACCGACCAGAAAAAAAAAAAATCCAACCAAAGTGACGCATTTTGGCGAGTGACTGGCTTCTAAAAATGAGCGCACATGACCGCAACTCAGTCGCACGCATACAAAGATGCGTCCAAAGCAAAAACAATGTGAAAGATGCACAGCATAGCCATTTTTTCTTTAGGGTTTTTAGTTTATCGAGAAATATTACCGGACAAACTTTGCTCCGAAGATACTGTTAGGATCCAGAAGTGGCCTAGTCAGTAGAAAGAGGCACTTCCGATAGATGAGGTCCTGAGATCGAACCCACCACCGTGCAGGCGTGTTCTGCTAGACCCCATGTAGGGGTTAGCACGTGCTCATCTAGGAATGGATACCCCTGTAACTGGTTACGACCAGAAAAAAAAACTTTCACTGTTAGCGCTGCTGGGGAATACAACTGATGCTCGTTTGAGTCCTCCGTACTTGGGTTGTGCTCTGGGCTTATAAGTAATTTGTGCATTTCGATCAGTTCGCCGAGTTTCGCCAGGGTCCCGAGGTGCTTTAAAAAAATACAGGTTGTAACACGTTTGTTTTTTCCCGCACACTGTTGGCTGGCAAGCCTTGTTGTGTGTTTGTAGACCTGGTTACCCCCACATTTTCACTTCATCATTGCATGCGATTACAACACGGTTTCCGTCCTGTCACAAACACACTCTCCCAACCATCTCGCCAGTAAACAAGACACATCTGTACTCACGCAACGTCCAATTCAATGTTGCATTCGCATGAAAATGTGCACGAGTCTTGCACATTTACTCAGGAGGAGTCAAACACCCCTCAAAGGGGTCTCAAGCCCCTCACAGCCGCATCCACTCGGCGGCATCCAGGTAGCCGCCCATCACGGCGGGCGCTCCTGCGTCAATTAGCTGCTGGCGGCGGGCCGCCTGCAGAGCCAGCGTGACCCACTCTGGGGTCGGCTCCGTCGTCCACGCCGGCAGCACACGCCCACGGCGACGAGGGTTCTCAGCCTGCGGGGTGGCGCCAAGGGGCATGGCGGGAGGAGGCGTGCTTTTGAGATTAAGAGCAGAGCTGGCGCGCTCCATCCGAGCCCTGATGATGGGGTTGCTGTCAGAAATAACTGAGCAGGAATGAATGAACTAGCACAGAGTTTGGTACAAGTAGGAAACCCTAACTTTGTGTACCCCCTAAGGTGTAACCCACTACAGCCTACACAATATAAACATACAATGTTTGACACACCCCCATAGGCGCAGTGGGAGACAACCACAGGGTCACAAGACCAGTCAAAGCAAAGCAAGCTCAGGGTGGATCTCAAGGATTCCACACAAATTCCGAGCACAAGCAAGCGGTCCCAAGACCAGTTCACATGCAGGTTTATAACAAAGCAAGAGATACAGTGATCACAACCTAGCAAAAGTAAACAAGTAGGCATATATATATAGTGATCACAGTACAAGCAAGGTCAAGAGGTAAGCAAGTGAGGCCCAGTGGGTACAAGGCCTAGCAGAGTGCAAAAGCGCTGATGGTCACAAGGCTGAAGCGCCTTGGTGAACACATCAGCAGTGTTGGCCTCCGTGGCCACGTAACGCAGACAAAGCTGACCACGCTGCTGCAGCTCTCGAGCAAGGAAGTACCGCAGAGCGATGTGCTTCGTTCTGTGCTCCAGTCTGTGCTCCTCACACAAGGCAATGGCAGCCTTGTTGTCGACGTACAGCACTGGAGGAGAACGAGGCCGCTCTCCGAGGTCGGTCAGCAGGTAGGTCAGCCAGCGTAGCTCCTGAGCAGCCATGGCTGTGGCGTAGATCTCAGCCTCACAACTGGAGCTGAGAACAGAAGAAGAGCGAGTAGAACGCCAAGAAACTGAGCCAGAGCCAAGGCTGAAGGTGTAACCCTGGGACGACCGCTGAGTAGCCTGGTCGTCTGCCCAAGAAGCGTCTGAGTGCCCTGTGAGAACAACCCGGTCTCGCCCTCCAAGCACAAGCCCCATGCCCGACGTACTGCACAAGTAGCGCAACACCCTCTTAGCAGCATCCATGTGCTCCTTCCGGTGACGGCCAGGAGCGACATAGCGTGCTAGGATGCTAAGAGGGTATGCAAGGTCAGGTCGAGTGCAGGTCATCAGGTACATGAGGCAGCCCACAAGCTCTGGATACGGGCCACTCGGCTCTACGGACTCATCCGAAGGCAGAGCTGAGAGCGAGTGACCGGTAGGCAGAGGAGTGGACTGAGGCGAGGAGTACGTGAAGCGGAAGCGCTGGAGAACCTGCTGCACCATGTGTGACTGAGTCAGGGTGATGGTGCGCCGTGCTCTGTCCCGGGTGATCCGCAAGCCAAGATAGCTCGTCAGCTCACCCAGGTCTGTGCACGTGTGTCTCCTCTGCAGCTCCGACTTCACGTGAGCGAGTGCCGCGGTGTCAGCAGTGGCAAAGACCAAGTCGTCGACGTACACGAGGATGTAGAACGGCGGCAGCGAGGTGTCGGTGCGTAGAAACAGCGACGGGTCAGCAGTAGAGGGAGCGAACCCAAGAGCCGCAAGTGTCGTCCTCAGTGTGTCGTGCCACTCACGTGGCGCCTGGCGGAGACCGTAGACCGGCCGCTGAAGCCTCCACTGGGTGCCAGGAGGAACTGACCCAGTGAAGCCAGGGGGGCGGCGCAGCCAGATCTCCTCGTGCAGGCTGCCCTGCAAGAAAGCAGTGCTGAAGTCAAGAGAGTGAAGCTCGTAGTCGCGGTGAGCGGCTATGTGCAGCAGCACCCGAAGAGTAGTCATCTTCGGGGTGGGGGAGAAGGTCTGGAAGAAGTCAACTCCCTCTCGCTGACTGAAGCCTCGAGCCACGTAGCGCGCCTTGAAGACAGGTGGAGAACCCGGCGGCCGCTTCACCCTGAAAATCCACATGCCACTGACGATGTTCGCCCCAGGAGGGGGAACCTCGTCTACGTAGGTGCCTGTGGACTTCCAGGAGGCCATCTCGGCGTCCATGGCTGTCTGCCACTGAGAGGAGTAGGGACCCGCCATCGCCTCAGCGTAAGAGCGTGGGGTCGGGATGTCTGGTGCATCCGGGTCTCCCTCAGGGGCAACTAGCAAGGACACGAGACGGGGCAAAGCAGCAGCAAGGCAGTGGAACTCCTCCTGTCTGTCCTCAAGGACGTCCGTGCCGAGGGCACACTCACCCCCGACGGACGGAGGACAGGCAGACGCAGACTCAGACCTAGCGACAAGGCTGGCAGCGTAGTCTAGGCGACAGCGAGCAGCAAAGTCAACCAACTCAGCGACCAGAGCAGACGCAGCAGAGGACTCAAAGGTCGGGTCAGTGACAACTGTAGCGAGGAGACGCGTAACAGTGGGACTGGCAGCACGACGGGAGTCAGACTCCGGGTCAGGAAGAGTAGGAAGAGAGGACGCAGGAGGAGACGGCAGCGGGACACGCTGCGGAGCAGTGGAGGGACGCAGAGTCATGTAGTGAGTGCCAGGGACAGGAGGAGGACGCTCACGTGGGACACGACGACCAGTGCGAGCAGTACGAACAGGCGACGCAGGACGAGACTCAGGCTCACGACGCTCTGTAAGACCTCCTGTGGGACCAGCGTAAGGGGAGGGAGCAGGGAGAGGCGAGGCAGGTGGTAACTGTGACTGCGGCTGGACAGGCAGAGGACACTCGACTGACGGAGGAGGACTAGGAGGAGGAGCCTGACCAAGAACCTGCTGAAGGAGCGGTACGAAGTACGGTCGCGGCCGCGCAGCGTCTCCAGAAGCAGCAGGGACACCAGTGGCAGC